GGTTTAAAAGTGTGATTGATTTCTACTCTAACTTCACGAAGCTAATATTACATTTCCCTTTCCACCTCTGAATTGTTTTAGACTATTATGGGCCACAGGAGACATAGGACTCAGTAAATAAAGTAATAGTCATATACTGAACTTTTTATATTTGGAAGGCTTGTGCTAGGCATAAGGCAATGTTGCAAATGGTTTAAGTTGTTATCTATCTGGTGACTAATCTTGTAAAAATCAGATACCAGCCAGTTATGTAGATTCCTCAATTCATGCCAGATCTCTCAAATTCAACAAAATTACAAGGAAGATTATCACCCTCTTCAACATTTTTTTTGGCATTTCCATCACTGATGATCAGTAACCACTTAAGTAATTTGTTCAACTAGTCGTTAAAAGTGTACTAGATCTTCTGACATTTTTCTCTTAAATATTTTAATAACAGTTTAGACTACCCAGCAGAAAAATTTTTAATGGTATGAGGTTTGTACTCACGATCTTGAATTTCTTAGGCAAATGGAAATCATGCTGCTAGCCCTTAAATTTATTTTTTGAGTAGATGTAAATACCTGTCATGTGTGTACACACACACACACATATTTCAAGTCCTAAAGCTTGAAATCAGGGACTGGGGACTGCCCATGAGCTTTTTGCTCAAGGCTAACACTCTACCATTTGAGTCACAGCTTTTTAGCTTTTTGGTGGTTTAACTGAAGATAAGTTTCATAGACATTCCTGCCCAGGTTAGTTTTGAACCTCCATCCTCAGACCTCAAAGTCCTGAGTAGCTAGGATTACAGGGGTGAGCCACTGGCAGCCAACTAATAATTTTCATTTAAAAAGAGAGAGAGAGAGAGAGCAAAAGAATTCCATGTATTTATAGGTTTATTGATATACAGGAATATGAAAGAGGCATTACACAATTTAAGCTTGTTTTCCAAATACATCACTTACATGAAAACTAAACAGCAATGATCGTCCTGGTTTCATATAGGAGGCAAATTTAGGGACGTTAAAAAAAATTTGTTTTGGCTTTTTTACCCTATTTCTTAAGAGTATAAAACTTACAGCCATTCTCATGAGATGCAAACCAGCAGGGCTAAAATTATTAGAGGAAATAATAAGGTCTCTCCTTTAGTAACTTGTACAGTGATTTTTTTCCCATAGATACCCAATATGTGGACATGATTTAGAAACAAAATTCTCAACAAACCACTAAATCTGTATGAAGCTATCTTTAAGTTACCTGTTTCATTTGGGGGGAATGGGTTTGCGTGTCTAAAGTGGTGACCTTTTTATTTCCAAGATGTAGAAACATATAAACGCTTCTATCTAGCATCTTAACCTGTGGCGTGGTTTTTGGTGCTTAGACATTGAGTCTACATTATTTCCATTGCAAATCCAGATGTACTTTAAAAAAAAATTGCACAACAACATGACATCCAATAATCCCATTGATTCAGTATTCACTGTTGGCTGATTGATCCGTGATCTTTTCAGTTCACTCAGAAAATTGGCCAACATTTCACTGTAAAAAAAGAAATGTGCAAAAAAAAAAAGTGGTTTAAAAATGTGGGGTGAAGCGTCAAAGCGTGAAACGCACTCAAAACCAGACCTGGCGTTTTCTAAGCCTCTCAGTTCAGCTGGAAGTTTCAAGTCCCCCCGCGGGATCACTGATCAAACCAATGATTAACCGCTGGCTCGGTGGGGGGGGGTGAGCAGGCCTAGAAACGTCCATGGCAGAAAGACCAAAACATGTTGCCTTACTTTGATATAAGTCAACGTACCAAAAGGCTCAGCGTGTGAACTGTCGCATGAGAGCTGTCAAAGACCCGATTGAAAAGGAAACGGACGTCCGCTCTCCTCCGCCCCGTCAGCCCGCGTCCGCCCGCCACGGCATCCCACAAATCTCGCGAGAGCACCATCGCTCCCCACCTAGGCGCATGCGCCCCGTGCAGGGTACGGGGAACCCGCCCCACTTTCCAGCCGGAGAAAAAGCGGAAAAAAAAACCCGCGAGACGAGAAAGGCAATTGGCCAGAGCGGGAGGGTGAACGACGGAAGAGGCGGGGCCTTGACGGAAGGCGGGCCAGAACTGTGCTGGCCTCCGCCGTTCGCGGCATTTCCGCCGGAAGTTGTCATCGAGTCTATAAAAGAGCGTGCGCCGGAGCCCTAGGTCTCTTTTGCCCGGGAGGTCGCGTCTTCGTCTCAGCTGTCAGCCGGCCAGTGCCGTCGTGGGAGATGGCGGTCAGCGTAAGGGCTGAGCCCACTCGGGGGTTCACCAGGGCCCGGGACGGGCCTGCGCAGGCCGGCGCCGGCAGGCTGGGCACGGCCGGCCGGGATGGGAGTTGGGACGCCGTCGGGGGCCCGCCGTGAGCCCGTTCTCTAGTGGCGCAGCGCGCCCTCGGGTGTCCGCCGCGGCCCGTTCTGCGGGAGCCAGCGCCGAGCACGCGGAGGCCCGCCGCGGCCTCCTCGGACGGTGAGTACCGCCTTCGGCCGTCTCCTCATCTGAAACCTCCATGTATCTATGGGACCTGTCAGCCGTGGCAGGCTCCCTTCCTAGCCATGGAAGAGCATGAGCCTTGTTGATTGGCAAAGCTGGCACCATCTTGGTTGGTATCAGATTCTGACTTGCACAAGGAACACGGCGCCCATTGTTTTTACAGACCTGCGAGATAACTTGGGTCTCCCTGGGGCAAAAAGCTTTACTAAAAAACGATGTTCATGTTTCCCAGGAGCCCTGAACCTCGTGGCTGATGAGTGACTGAAAGTGACGGCGTACAGTTTGCCTTGCGGTGAGTATTTTCAGTCAGTCGGAAAACATCCGCAGCCTTTAGTTTCGCCAGATCGCTGGCACTTGGTAATCTTGCCGGTTGAGTAGAAATAAGTGGGGCACGTGCACAGCTAGCAGTTTTGTAATAGTTTTCTCTTTTGTTACAGACAAAGAAATCCAAATGATAATGGATGAAATACACAGCGTCTGCCAAAGGGTCGCCAAAGTTTCAAACCTTGGGAGTGGATATTTTGAATAATTTAGAAGGTATCAGCGTTATTTTTTTTTGTCCAGTCGTGGGGCCTGAGCTCTACCACTGAGCCACCTTCCCAGCCCTCGTGCATTTTTTTAATAAAGTGGCTTAAAGATAATGTTGCTTTCTTCTTGACTAAATCATGTAAAGAGAAAACTTCCGTTGAGGGACTATGATGAGTTGCAAGACTATAGAGTTTGAGAAGGGGTTAAGTATAACCTTAAGGGGGAGAGAACAGGGTGTTCGATAACAAAAGAGATGCGACACAAATTGAGAAGTTATGCAGTTTATTTACACAAATGCACACTGACCATTTGTGCCAGACAAGGGACTCTAAACGTGTTTACTGGCCTTGAAACATTGCCTGCTGTACTTAAAACTTCATGATATTGTTGTTAACACTTTAGTTATTAAAAAGCAGCCAGTGGTTTTGCAGAATGGTGTAAAATGTACAAATTGTACTTTTAGCCCTTGTGCAACTGGATACCATGTTTGTTGCACATGTGAATACTGCTGGAAAGTAATGGAGGTGGTGGGATTTCAGGAAAGCACACATGATGCTCCACATGAAACATGGCTTGCACATTTGCAAAGTATAAAGCACCTCAAGGTTTGCACCAGTCCTTATCAAATAGGATTTAATGAGGGGATGTAGTTAGATGCACTGGGAAAGTCAGGTAAACTACTTTATAGAGACACCCAAGTATAAGGAATATTTACACCCTTAGTCAAAGTGCTGATTCTTCCGAAGGTTTCGTGGTATTAGCAATAATGGTTATGATTTGAGAGTATTAAGTTGTGCCATATGCAGTTAGGAGCAGAAAAAATTAAGCCACTTAGCTGACTTGCTCCTTTGAGAAGTCTGGGCCAAGCAGCTGAGGAACAAAGTCATCCTGAGCAAGAAAGTCAATGGTGTAGACTTAGCTGTTAATCTTCCCATGGCAATAATTCACTTGGGTATTCTGTCAAGAATACTGAGCTTAAAAAGGAGTTGCCATGAGCATAGTGCAATGATATTTATCTAACCACCAAAAAGAAGTGGAGCTTTTGCTCAAGTATAAGTGAAGTATAAGCCTTCAGTGAAAGCTAAGGAAAGCAGCCTGGAAGTGGAGGTTGTCCTTCGCCTTGGAATCATCTTTCATCAGCCATATAGTTTACTCAGTCAGAAATGAGGCAACTCTAAAATCCTACTGACCTTAAGTTGCACAGACTTCTAGAATATGATTTATACAAGGGAGAAACATTTGTCAGGGTGGGTTTTTTAAGGTTAGTGTTGGGAAAACCTGTGAGTCAGTTACAGGGACATTCCAGTAGATGGCACACTTGTCATGGGCCATGAAACTATTAAGTTAGATAATGAAGGTTGTAAATGTTACCGGAAATCCTCCAAATTACAAAGTGGCTTAACTCTTCTGAAAAATACATTTGGAACTTAACTAGGAGGAAGTAAGTAGCAAGTAACAAGGCATTTATGGGAATGTTGGGACAAGCACATCCTGTAGCCTAGTGATTATTGCTGCTACAGGTGTATAATGGAATACCCTTTAGGCCTTTGATTACCTCATAAGAGAGGTTACACCGGTTAAAAAAAAAGCCAAACTAGGTAATGATCCCGTTCTTAATTTAAGGTAACTTTTTATCAAATGTGGACACTTAAATATGAATCCAAGTACCATATTGCATTAAAGTAAGAACAGTTACTGCAAAGTCAATGTGGGAAGTGCATGCAGAAGAGATGAGACTTAAATGAGCATTTTGTTTCCCCTGTAAACTTGGTAGCTAGCAATGCTAGTTTAAAAGCAACCAGTATTGAGGTATATAACCAAAAGAGTTCACAGGTTTTCAAAAGCAGCAAGTGCTGCATAGCTTTTACCACAACAAAAAGCAGGAGGAACACAGAACTCAGTCTCCTGTAGTTGTCACTTCTAGATTAGTGCTAGTAGTGGAGGCTGATGGCTTTCTATTCCCACCCCCCCTCGGGTTTCAAGGAGCTAAAGTGGTGATACTTTTAATCCAAGGTACAAAGGCTGAGACTTTGGTATAAACACCAGGGGAATCCTTAAGTCCACAACCATATCCCCAAGATGTCACTCCATACACAACCCAGCTGTCTCCAGACCGCTGGCACACAAGTGGTCCTCCACTGTCCCCCTGGCAGCTGTCCACACTCGTGTGTTCGTGGAGGGTTCCAGCACACAGCATTCTCCTTGTAAACCGGCCCTTATAACGTTCTTCACAAAATCTCTTGGGAAGTAGGGGGATGGCTGCTTGTTGGAGTGTTCTTGAATAGGCTCGTCCTAGTCAAACCAAATTAATTAATTGATGAACTTCCAGCTAATGATAACATGTCAACAGTTAAACATTTAGTATTTGTGAAAATGAAATCATGGCATTCATGTGATTCAAATAAGTTTAAACTATAAGTGAACTATGTAGTGCTACCTACATTTTTTTGTTGTTGGAACTTCTAGTTGGAATACAAGTTTACAGGGACTTTTTGTGCCAGTACTGGAGCTTGAAGTCCACCTGGGCACTGTCTTAGCCTTTTTACTGAAGGCTGGCACTCAGCCATTGAGACCACAACTTCATTTCTGGATTTTTGGTGGTTAAGTGGAGTCTTAGCTTTGCCTGGGCTAGCTTTGAACTGTGATCCTCAGATCTCAGTCCCCTGAGTAGTGAGGAGTACAGAAAACAAGTTTGTTTCTCAATATTGAAATTTTCAAGAAATAATGAGTAATGTGGGCTCTGAGCTTAAAAGGAAAGGTACAGAAAGCACAATTACTGCAGGTTTTACTACAGTCTTTATATTATTTTTTATATTATATTTTACTACAGTCTTGTATATTAAAAAGCCAGAAGTGTATTTGTGCTGGTTTTGAATTAGCACACTAACTACATTGAATTTCAGGATTAAAAAAATAAATGATGCTCCTGACTCATGGCTGTAATCCTACCTGCTTAGGCTGAAATCTGAGAATTACAGTTCAAAGCCAGCCAAGACAATTTTAAAAGTCCTTGAGATGCTTAATCTCCAATTAGCCAGAAAGAGACAGAAGTAGAGGCCTAGCTCAAGTGGTAGAACACCAATCTTGAGTAAAAAAGCCAAGTGTGAGCTCAAGGCCCCTGAGTTCAAACCCACATATGGGCAAAGCATATATACATAAATACCTAAATAGGTATGTGGTAGTGTACAAAATGGTTCAGAAATCAAGCATTGGCCCTGCTTTGCTGTATCGACATAGTCTTCATTTTTACCACCAAGTGCAAGTATTCTCGAACTTTAGTTGCTGAGCCATTCAGTACTTACTTGTTCCCATGTAGGAAATGTACAACTGACATGTTCTCCATGATTACATTTTCTTGTATATAGACCCATTAGAATCTCCACTAAATCGGGATAACTAGGCTATTTAAAAATTCTGTAATTTACTTACTTGGTCATTTTATATTCAGATATGGTGTCATGGTGTCATTTTCCCATATAAAATCATTCTAACTAGCTTCTGAGAGCATCCATTTTTCACATGGGCCAACATACTGTATTTTGAGATGGCATACTTTGATTTTATGAACTTTACCTCAGGATCATTTCCAGTGTTTTCTTGATATTCTGTTATCTAGAATAAATGTTCTACATCTTGCTACTGCAGAGGTCTCTAAATCTAGTTTTAGTCCACCTAATCCAGATAAAATCTAAGCCTGCTTTGACCCTAACCTGAGCAAGTACTTCCTGATAAAAATGCTCACACATAACCCTTGCTACTTGGGAGGCTGAGATCTGAAAACAGCTAGGAAAGTCCTGAGACTCTTACCTCCAATTATGCACCAAAAAAGCCAGACGTGGCTCAAGTGGCAGAGCACTAGCCTTGAGCAACAAAGCTCAGGAACAGCTTTCATGCTGTCCTTTAACTTGGCCCTAAGTTCAAGCCCAAAAAAGAAAAAAAATTGGTTTAACTACAGCAAGATGATTCAAAAACAAGAACAAACTAAGCACTCTTTCTGCTTAAGGTTTGCAAGAATGGGAAGGGAGAATGAAGGAGAAACTTTTTGTGGGTTTCACTTCACCCTCCACCTGTGTTCTATGTTAAGGAAGTCTCCATAAAAATTTAACTTGAGGGGCTGGGAAAGTGGCTCAGTGGTAGAGCGCTTGCCTTGCATGCATGAGGCCCTGGGTTC